TTGCATCGTCTCATAAAAATTACCATTTTAGTTGATATGGACAAACTGTTACGTAACTAACTGGAATGTGACAACTAACTAACATTTTTTAATTTGTCTCTAAACTTACAGAACTGTTTGCACTGAGTTATGTGTTTGACAACTTAGTAAGATGTCAGCAATTAAAATAAAATTAAACTTTGATAAATATATATTCCGTAGTTTAGGCGGCAGATTTTTTTCTTCAAAATGTCATATTTTTTCCATGTCCTCTTATTTGAAGTCTCATTGCTCCTCAATGAATCAGGTAATATATATTGTGGAGTAGGTCTAGTCAAGATGTATTTACCCTACGAAAATTGAATGAAAATATTCATACTTTTTCCAATGGCAACAATGTTAGTGGAAAAATCACCATAAAGTGTAACGTAACTAATCGTGGAATTACCCCTATGGAAAATAATGTTCTAAGGAATTGTCTCATGATTGCATATTGGCCAATCACACTATACATGTAGTGTTTATGCACAGTGTAAAATATATGAATAGAAAAGAACTTTGAATTTACCGAATTTACATGTACAGATGTGTACATCTATATCATAATATGAGATATCATAACACAATATCATCAAAAATATGAGATGCAAATGGATAATGTATGTACCACAGTGTCGAATTGGATTAAATAGTAATAGGCGGACTTATCAAACGTTCAGTTTACCATGAGAAATGGATTTTTACAGTGATTTGAAATGAGGGAAAAATGTTCACAGCAGGCTCAAAAATACTTTTTTTCATGAGGGCTATTTTGAATAATTGGAGGAAAAAAATCGTCCTTGTGAACATGTGCACGGGGGCTATTTTGAGGCTCACAAGGGCTATTTTTTATAACATTGTTTTCAATGCTGAGTCTAATAAATAATAATTCTACCCCCTTATTGTGAAGGCCTACATGTAAGTCACATAACCCCGGCACCTGCACGGTGCCCCGCCATGTCCAAATACGGCAGTTGAATGACAAATATGGTAATTCCCGGGCACTGTATGGGTACCGGGGTCATTATGTGACTTAACGCCATGCACAATAAAAGCAACAGACTGCATTAAATAGATTCATGTCATTCAACATTCAACCAAAAAACTCCAGTCCACATACCCTGTCACTGAGTTATATTTTGGATGTAATTTTCGTAAATTTAGCCCATCAACCATGCCAGTCTGTATCACTAACTTGTCCATCGTGATTTGTGATCGATGTCGACTTTGAATTCAGAGGTGGTTTGCAATCACAACCACACCGGCTCCGAATACTCGGGGATCACAACATGCACAGTATACAGTCTGTGCGTGCACAATTGAACGCATTCATCAAATATGTGAGACGCAAATTTACGCCTGCATAATGCATGCAAGCTGAAGAAGCGCTGATCCTGCAGTTCGTGTAGGTGAAATAATGGAAGTTTCGCACAGCGAAAATGAGCGTTGTGTTAATGTACAAATCTCCAAAATAGCCATATAACCCGCAGAATTTAACGTTAGCGGAATAAAAGTATCGAAAAAAAACGTATCGCAAAGTACTGCAGAAATAGTGCTTAAAAGAAGCAAGGAAACAATTTGGCCAAACTTTCGCTCCGCTTCAGATTCGAAGAAAGTGGGGCCATGGGCTATTTTTCATGTGATCTCATTTTTTTTGCCCCCGTGTTGGTCTTAACGGTTGCAATTTTAAGGCTTACGGGGCCGAATCGCCCCGTCGCTCCCGTGTATTTTTTTTCGCTATTTCACAGGAATCCTACATATATCTGTGATTATCATAGTTTTTCAAATAACCTGATTATACTTTTTTTTACTACATGCAGGGCTCCACATTAAGCATTTTTTTCAAGTCAATAATCGCTTGTCGGACCTTTAACCATTCTTTTTAAATAAATACAGCCAAATTTGAAAATGAACTGGTCCAGCAGCTAATTGTGCTGGTCCCGAACCGTCGGACCAGTGGACCAGTGCTAGTGTGGAGCCCTGCTATACATGTCATTAGTGCTAGTGCATGTGATGCCCTGCTACATGTCATTATTGGTCATTCGACATGAGGTCGCCCACTATCGCGTTACACGTACATGGTAATTTTGCTGTTCATACTGTACACTTTATGTTGTACATGTATGTTAAAACCTTATATCTCAAAAAGTAAGACCTTATCATATAAAACGTATACATTTTCTGAAAGGAAATTCATTACGAAAATATGTCGTTTAAAAAATACCCCACCAGTTTTACATAGGATCCTATGTATATCAGGTGGTAGTCCAGATTCAGTCCGTTCGTTCTTTTTTATCCCCCACACACATCGCGGTCTCTCCACTGATCGCGCAATCCCCAAATTTCCGTCCACACGAATTCAGGACCCAGATTTAGAGGAATGGCTAGGTCTACTTTCAACGTTGAGGGTGTGTTATTTTACCAGCTGATTGGGTGCGCTAAACGAAAACGGTACAGAGGCTGGACTAATCAGGTGGGGAATTGGAACCCCGATTTCGTTCTCCTCATTTAAAATGTGGTCAGCGCCTTATCAGCTGCGGAAGAGAGATTATGGTATTAGATTGCAGCTGCACTCTTCACTATCTTACGTAATAGAGTAAACAAACTCTTACTGGGGCTCTGCCTGAAAGGAAAGGAGAAGTAGGAAATATATATTTTACTTGTTTTAAGATAATTTCATGTCCAAAAGTCACTCAGGATGTAGATGAAAACCAAAATGAAAATTTGAACGAAGTGAAATGACCCAGAATTGGCAAAAATATTAAAAATTTCAACTCTGAAAACTAACCCGTCGAGGCCAGTGCAGGTTTCTTTTTCACCATTCCTCTCTCCCTCAATCATGCTTTATCTCTCTCCCTGTCAAGGTCGCTTCTCCATTACATTGCCCAGCGCTTTTGTTTATTCTAGGTTTACTGCTATCTCAGATGTCTGGTAGAGGTGGAGAGCAAAAGGGGGTTTGAAGTTTAAACACTGAATTTTCGTCATGTTAATAAGGAATTCAAATCTGCACTCAGAAACCCATTTAGGTGGAAGAGGAGATTGTTGGATGACCTTGACTTTGAAAAATATGATTTTTTTTGTGTTGTGTTATTGTCCCGATCATAAAAACTTTGCACATCCTCACATGGCCCCCAAAATATCATATTGTTTAGAAGACACTTAGACCTTTTCAACAATATATAATTGTCTTGGTTTTTCTTCTTTTTTTTTTTTTACTGTAAACCCAGAAAAATAGATGATTCAATTTTTCAAAAAATGCCATAAATTTATAGTGACTTGTACACAGAATGCAGCTTTCAGCTGTTCCAACCCTTGAAAATGGCATTAATTGGCTATAGAACACCCTAAATCTGTTAAAACCTATCTCTTTGATATTAAATGAATATAAGGTTTTGGTTTGATAGCAAACATGTCTGAGAGAAATTTCTTAGTATATTGAAAAATAGAGATTTTGAGCCAAAAAGTTTAAGTGACAACACCCTAAATATGCAAGTTTAGGGTGTATTTCATAAATTTTGGGCACCAAGATCAGACAAACCTAATGTTCACTGATTGATCAATAATAAAGAGGGACATGTCGGCTTTTATATAAAACCATATTTGCCTTCATACCTCATGTATTTACAAAGATATTAAGGTTTAAAAAAATAGCACAAAAGTTTGAATTTTGCCATTGACTTTGTACACGTGGCACCGCTTCCGGCACTACCCTTGATGTTTCTTATTAAAAATGTTATAACTCCACCGTAGAACAACATATGACTTTGAAACTTCCTTTGTAGATACCTTTGTAGATAGCCAATTAACTAAGCTTCAGAATGATACCGAACTTGTTGGCAAAGCTTTAATTGTTCAGAAATAAATTAGTAATTACATCAGCAAACAACAGAAAAGTGTAACAGCACCACCTTTTTAGTGGGCAACCTTATGACACATGACCTACTACATATAGTGCCCCTATGGTGTCGGATGTACGCGGTGTTGGATGTACATTGTACCTCAGACACCATTATATCTCAATTTTAAGGAAACGTGGAGTAAAGGTTTGGTGGTTGGTACATTCCTTTTAACAAACTCACATTTTATTCTAGTTTATTTAATTACCTGGTAGACTTGCTCTGGATTTTTTAAGAAAATTTAAAGATAGATGTTTTCGGTGTCGGACGTACATTGGTATTAGTACCCCACTTTGTACAAGCTGTCGTATCAAAACGAGAGTTTGGTACTCAAAGTTGTACTTAATTTTAAAACCTCTACATTGGACATAAATGAAAACATGTTTATAATAGATTTCATGTTTGTACTGGTCAGAAAATGACTAACATACATTTTGCCAACTTTTTCTAAAAATCTGTGAAAATTTCACACCATTTCAGACACTGGGTTTTCAATTAAATCTCATTACAAAAGTCTGTTTAATCATATATTTATGTAAATATAAGTCCTCTACTTTAGTTTGAGATAATATTTGAACATATTTGACGCATTTGAAAATTTGAGCTCTGGGTTAACCATTTTACGGAATTCCCCAAAGGAGACACAAAAAATGAGTGTGTCACGAATTTATGGAAACATCCATCTGTTATATGGCAAGGACTAGTAATTATGCCATGCTTGAGAGCTGGACTAGGATAAAGCAAATGGATATATGGATATTTTCAGTATTGATTACGCAAGCGATATGTGATCCTTTCATTTAACAGTTTGCTTGATCCAATGTTTTACATCATGGGCCATTTTTAATTTTCAGAGTTTTGAAATTTTGATTTTTTTTTTTCCCATTACTTTTGGGGAACCTCACCCACCCACCCCATTTCTGATTAAACAAGATTAATTTGTGTTTCCTTTTTCACCCCTTTTAGGAAAAAGGGGGAATTTAGATTTTCTATTTTTTGTATTATTAAGCTACATGTAATTTCAGGTTTGGCTAAACTGGGGCAAAAAAAAAGATTGCAGCATATATTTTGTCTCATATGTAACAGAATTGATGCATCAAGTGAAGGGAGCTGCTTGGCAAGATACATCAATGATGAAGAAACCAAGCCCAACTGCAGAATGAAGAAACTTGTATTCAACAATGTTCCCCATCTGTGTTTGTTTGCACTGACTGACATCAATCAAGGAGCTGAACTTAGATACAACTATGGAGAGGATGACTACCCATGGCGCAAGGTACTGGCACATGTTTCAAATCCGTATGTTGTTTTGAACCTCAACAATGCTTATCAGTTGAAGCTTGTGAAGCCCTAAATGCACTTTCCTACAAGCTCTTTGAGATACATAATTGTTTTATCACCCACTTTGCTTGCCTTCACCTCTATAATTATTCTAAATTCATAATCATTTAATTCACTAATTCATCATCTTCCACTTCAAACTGCTAGGTTTCGGTCTGTTTAATTAACCAAAAGTGCTAAAGACGGCATTGGAGAAGAGGTAGAACTGCCCCCTCACTTTCAAGGGGGGGGGGGGTGGCAAGAGTTTCACAACACTTTTGTATCACATGGTGGCACTGAAACATCTTATGTGGTGTTCTTTGCCATCTGAAAAGGCCCTATTACTGGAAATGAAAAAAGAAGGTTCTCACTTCTCACTTCTCAAACTATTTTTGCCCTTATTGCAAAATGTTTGCCGGCGGTCATTGCCCATAGGAAAGTTTTGCGCTTGCGATATACTCCTGCTGCTGACTTGTGGCAGGTCTGCGTCAGACCTGCCGCAGGTTTTAGCTGCAAATTAGTTGTTGTGGCTGATTTGTGGCAGACCTGCGGCATACTTTTAATCATGAATATTTATGACTTCCATGCCTGTGGCTGACTTGCGGCATACTTGCTGCAAACCTGCGGCACACTTTTAATCATGAATATTCATGACTTCCATGACTACAGCTGACCTGCAGCATATTTGTGGCAGACTTCTGGCATACTTATGGCAGAACTCTGACTCTGACATACTTGCAGCAGACCTGTGGCACACTTTTAATCATGAATATTCATGACCTGTGGCTGAGTGTGGCATACTTCCGGCATACTTGTGGCATACTTGCGGCAGACCTGTGGCATACTTGCGGCAGACCTGTGGCATGATTGGGGCAGACCTTCGGCAAACCTGTGGCAGACCTCCGGCATACCTCCGGCAGACCTGCGGCATATTTGCGGCATACTTGCAGCAGAAGTCAGTATTCTTTCTGGCTCATATGAGGATATTATTTGACTTTAATAAAATATCCATTCCATACAGAAATTTTTTAATGGTTGGTCATACAATGTCACCCAGGTCAGCTTTCTGAGTGAGGTATGCTGCACAGTCTTCCACAAAGTTTTGTTCTGGGACTCACTCTGGCACAGTGCTTGCGGCTGACTTTGAGTCTGCAGCAGGCCTGCCGCATACTTTTAATTTTCCTATGGTGGTCATTTGCCTCCCACCCCCTCCCCCCCCCCCCTCCCCCAACTCCCCCAACTTTTCAAGTAGCTGCTGTGCCTGTAAAGGATTAACCCTAATCCCATTGGGCTTTTTGAGGGTCTTGAAACCATTGGGGGGGGGGGGCTATTTTGGCCCCCCCCCCCCCCCCCTCTGATCTCGGCCGTTGATCGCGCGTTCGCGCCGAAATTCGGCATGCACATAGTCTGTGACGTTAACTCTTAGATTGCATAGTTAAATTTGTCAAAAATCCCTTCATTATGCTAATTAGGCACTAATTATGCATAATTATGCATGAATTCTAATTAAGAGTAATTAATCACTTCATGAAGCTCTAAATGTGCTGAATTTTGGTTTAGATACTCTTAGTAATGTTTCAGACAGATTATTGAGAAGAAAAAAAATGCCATCAAATTTTTTTTCTTATGTATTTTATTGTTTTTGTGAATTTCTTATGTATTTCTTTGTTTTTTTGGCCTTATTATGTCTATTGTTTTTCCGAGGTAAATTGTTGGGGACATTATTAGAGTCATAAAAAGTACATTTTTTATCAATTTCATCCATTAAAATGAAAATTAGACAAGGATTTATGAATATTTAGTGAAAACACAATTTACTTTGACTTTGTACATAAAATCATGTTTTTTACTCAAATTTGGCTTGGCGAATTTTTTTCAAGTGCGCATAGCGTCGGTACCGTATACCCGGTCGTCGCAAATTTGGTCTCAAAAGTTGCGCGAGACTTGAAACTAAAAAGTCAAAAAAATTCATGGCGCGAGCTTTTCACGTTTCAGAATTATCGTGAAAAATGTCGAGGGGGGGCCAAAAAAAGCCCCCCCCCCCCCCCAATGGGAATAGGGTTAAGCCAAGTTTTTGGCAAAGGGAGCAACAATTTTTGTACAATTACACAAAATCCGCTTGCACTGTAATTTTCCATAGAAAGAGTGTAATTTGCTTTGTTTATACAGTATTGAATTATCCTATTGTTATATACAAAGTGGTCCCTTTTTCATTCAAACATGCATTTTATAAGAAATACGTCAAATTCTTTGGCATCAACATCATAATCAGTACAAATGTCCTTTATTTTCCTTTTTATCCACTTTTGTAGGTTGATGTTACAACCAAGCCTGTTACAACCAAACCAACTAGTCTAGGTGAAACTAGTCCTTTGAACCTAGCTATTAGACATGGTGAGTTGTCTAATGCTGCCACTCCGGATCTTCAGCATAAGGGAGAAAGGCAAAGTAGGAGTGTCCATCACGAAGACAGTGATCCATGCAAACCCAGTAAAGCCCTCAGACGAGTTGAGTTTCCACATGCCACCTCTACTTTTGCAGACACTGAGGCATATTCGGCTGGTAAAACAAGTCCCCATCTGGAGGAATGTCAACCACTTAAATCCAGTCTCTCTGCCGATGTTGAGCCAGCTGCCTCTGCCAGTCTAGGTGAAACAAGTCCCTTGGACCAAGCTGTTAGACATGGTGAGTTGTCTAATGCTGCCACTCCGGATCTTCAGCATGAGGGAGAAAGGCAAAGTAGGAGTGTCCATCACGAAGACAGTGATCCATGCAAACCGAGTAAAGCCCTCAGACGAGTTGAGTTTCCACATGCCACCTCTACTTTTGCAGACACTGAGGCATATTCGGCTGTTAAATCAAGTCCCCATCTGGAGGAATGTCAACCACTTAAATCCAGTCTCTCTGCCGATGTTGAGCCAGCTGCCACTGCCAGTCTAGGTGAAACAAGTCCTTTGGACCAAGCTGTTAGACATGGTGAGTTGTCTAATGCTGCCACTCCGCATCTTCAGCATGAGGGAGAAAGGCAAAGTAGGAGTGTCCATCACGAAGACAGTGATCCATGCAAACCCAGTAAAGCCCTCAGACAAGTTGAGTTTCCACATGCCACCTCTACTTTTGCAGACACTGAGGCATATTCGGCTGGTAAAACAAGTCCCCATCTGGAGGAATGTCAACCACTTAAATCCAGTCTCTCTGCCGATGTTGAGCCAGCTGCCACTGCCAGTCTAGGTGAAACAAGTCCCTTGGACCAAGCTGTTAGACATGGTGAGTTGTCTAATGCTGCCACTCCGGATCTTCAGCATGAGGGAGAAAGGCAAAGTAGGAGTGTCCATCACGAAGACAGTGATCCATGCAAACCCAGTAAAGCCCTCAGACAAGTTGAGTTTCCACATGCCACCTCTACTTTTGCAGACACTGAGGCATATTCGGCTGGTAATACAAGCTCCCATCTGGAGGAATGTCAACCACCTAAATCCAGTCTATTTGCCGGTGTTGAGCCACCAGTCACTGCAAGTCTGAGCATGCAGACACTTCCAATTGCCAGTAATTGTTACAGTGCCAACCAAATAGTGACGTCATCTAATGCCACAGCTGTGATTATTGACAGTGATTCTGAAGAATCAGAACCCGATGATCCCGATTATGTACATGACCCTGATTATGTACCAGACTCTGCAAGTGATGGTGATGTTAGCTGTTCTGATGACATCTTGCAGATTCCAGAAACTAGACGCAGAAAAAAAAATTCCCCCGTTGTTGATAGTGATGATGGTAGTGTTGAGTTTGACTGTGAGCCTAGAGAATCCAATGGGGCAAACAATCAACAGGCTGAATCTTCCGATTGTCAAAATCCCAAGGTCTCCAGCTCTTCATGTGAGCAATCTGACATTGAGGTCCTCTGCACATCAAACGAAGAGGAAAGACGCAGGTGGGATAAGCCACAGTTCTGTCCCTTTTGTTTGGTGGGGCAAAAGAAGTTGCCTCGACATCTTACTACAGAGCACAAATATGAACCACAGGTCAATGAATGGCTTGGAACAAAAGAGCCAAAGAAACGTGCAAAGCTCCTGACGCTCATGAGGAATTACGGGAATTTTCTCCATAATCATAAAGTTCTAGAGGAGGGAAAAGGTACACTCATAGTTGTTTATCGGCCAAAATACAAGGCTAATGCTCGAGACTATTTGCCTTGCACAAGATGCTACGGCTACTTTGCGAAAAGTGACCTGTGGAAACACAAATGCAGCCAGGCAACTGATGAATCAGATGCTACTGATGAACCCGTTAAAAAGAAACGAAGGACTGGACTTGCAAAGGCAAGTAGAATGATGCTGCCTATCACTCCTGGAGTAAGCAAGAGAACACATGAAATTTTAGCCACCATGAAGGATGACAACATAGCTAGGGTGGTCAGGTCGGACAGGCTAATACAATTGTTTGGTGAAAAGCTGACTCTGAAGCATGGACACACCAGGGACCAGGAGGGGTATATTAGGCAGCGATTACGTGAGCTGGCACGGATGTTGTTGGAATATAGAATTCTCACAGAGCAGCCAAATGCTCAAATGGAAGACCTTATATGCCCAAAGAAATTCCATGACGTAGTTAAGGCTACAAGACAAGCTTCAGGATTCAATGGAGACGATAACATCTACACAACTCCAAGCCTGGCTCTAAAGATTGGGCACAGTCTAAAGACATGCACTGAGATACTTCGAGGGGAAGCTCTTGTGTCTGGTGATGAAGCGGTTGAAAAGAAATCCAGAGCAGTTGCTGAATTGTACAGTTTGCACTGGGAGGGGGAGGTGAGCCACCACGCTCTGAGAACCCTTGAAGAAGCCAAACGCAACAACCCCAAGATACTCCCATTGACAGAAGATGTTGTGAAGCTATCTAGGTACCTTCAAAACCAGGCAAAGACAAATCATGAAGAGCTACTGAGGTCGTCTGGGTCTGAAATGCAGAAAGCATGGGTGAAATTAGCTGAAGTCCTGCTGTCTCAAGTAATCGTCTTCAACAGAAAACGATCAGGCGAGGTGTCAAGAATGACACTGAATGATTACAACAAATGTGCTAGAGGGGAGACATGTATAGTAGATGGGGCCCTGTCTGTAGTTGAGAAGGCACTGTGTAAGGCACTATGGAGAGTAGAAATAATTGGGAAACGTTCCCGCACTGTTCCTATTCTCTTAACCACCAAAATGAAGGCAGATCTTGACACTCTAACTGAATGTAGAAAAGAGGCAGGCTTAGATCACAACAAGTACCTGTTTGGTATGCCGGGAGGTTCTGGTCATCTGCGTGGAACAGACACTCTTCGAAATCATTCAGCAAGGTGCGAAGCAAAAAACCCGGAACTTCTGCGAGCTACCAGACTTCGGAAACACATAGCTACAGTATCTCAAGTAATGAACTTGCAGGACAACGAGCTGGACATACTCGCAGGCTTTCTTGGACATGACGTACGGACACATCGAGAGTATTACCGCCTACCAGACTCAACTCTGCAGGTAGCTAAACTCTCCAAAGTACTGCTGAAGATGGAGAGTGGGGACATCAGTGGTCTAGCTGGAAAGAGCCTGAAGGATGTGCATGTGGGATCTGATGAGGGTATGAAATTTTAGCCAGTGTTGGAATTGAGAACTTTGTTCCTAAGACAAATATCAAGATGCAGGATTTTATGGCTTAGACAAAATTTTTCATTAGGGGATGACATGTACCTGCAATAGATAAGCAACAAAATGGTGTCAAATATAAGTATGACAGCCTTTTTTTTTTCTAGCCGCTTAAATTCTTATCTAGCAAACTGGTCTTGACTCTGCACCTCTGTATCTTTGTACTGTCCGTGAACACAAAGTCTCAACTCCATCATGACCAAAAAATAAGATTCACTAATTGTATGGCCAATGAACCAATAACAGATTGTTTAGCCTGATTAACCCCATTGGGCGGAATGTATCTAAGGGTATGATGCTCAGAAAATGTCCCCAAAGTAGAAATTATGCTTATTTTCTGGAAATTGATATGTACTTTTCAGAAGATGATTTCTTACATGCAAAAAGATCTTTTCAGGAAATGGTATGATACATAATCTGGGGGACATTTACGTTTAGTAAACACTGTATGGGTATTTATGTATAGCATGTCATGAACTGATTCTTGACAAAAGAAACCCATATTGACAAAGATAGTCATAGTACCGCTTAGGGCCTGTTTCGAAAGTGATTTTTTTCTCTAACGTTTACACTCTTGGTTTTTTTGGACGGGTTCACATGTACATGTACACTGTAATAAGATCTTCTTATTCGCTCATAGTTATCACTATCAATTATGACAGCTAAGGCTAGTATTAAAGACTGGCTCCACTCCAGAAAAATCTTTTTATTGAAAGCAGAAAAATCAGACGAACAGATTAAAAAAAGTTTGAAGCAAATCGGAAAATGAATAAGAAAGTTATGACTATTTTAATGATATTGAAAAATCCATTTCGACATTGATTTTTCACGCAAATTGGCAACCTTTGGTCACGTGTGATGACGTACATCATGCACTTCTCGACTGTTAGCTTACGGATATTCTATTATTATCATCATTGTTTTTAAGAATCCGTTTTAATCTTTAAACGTAAAGTCACTTTTCTTATCGATGTGTTCATGAAGTTCAAAACCATCAGCGAACGTAACTTTAGCTAATGAATTCCATGTAGAAAAATAAAAGGTATTATGTTTGGATTTATAAGATTTAATATAATACATTTAAGATAAATAAAAAATAATTAATGAGAAATACTGTTATAAATGTTGATCTATTACTAATTACAGGAGAAAATAATGTCTTATTATTATTTACATATTTCCACTGATTTTACGATTATCCAATCTTGGAAAAAAATGGATTACCACTTTTATTCTTATGTATTTATTTGTTTTGACAATTTCTTATGTTTTATATTATTTTAATTGTTATGTATTTCTTTGTTCCATGATATTTGTGCCATTACATAGATCTTCAGTGAGAAATATTTGGATACCACAATCATTATTTTATAAAGTTATTTTAAATAAGTAGACGATCTAAACTTATCAATGAAAGCAGAAAATACACGAAATATGTAAATTTTATTATTTTTATTGTTTATTAAAATCATTATCCATTATAATTACTTTTATTATAATTGCTTTTCAATATTTGAACAATTGAATTATTGCATGCTAATGAATCCGTGCATTAATCGACGGAAATAGACTTTTGTTTAGCATTAAAGTGTTAACAAAGGATGGTATAAAACAATAAGGTATAATAAGTTGCTTGCAGAGAAGTGCATGATATACGTCATCACACGTGACCAAGGTTTGCCAATTTGCATTAAAAATCACTGTTGAAATCAATTTTTAAATTTCCTTTAAAAAATCATAACTTTCTTATTTTTTTGTTTTTGTTGATCTGTTTGTCTGATTTTTCTGATTTTAATAAGAACAAGATTTTTATGCCTCCGCCACCGTAAGGTGGTGCCGGAGGCATTATGTTTTCGGGTTGTCCGTCCGTCCGTCCGTCCGTCCGAAGCTCGTTACCGCGATAACTTAAGAACGCCTGAACGGATTGTTACCAAACTTGGGTCAAGTATACATGAGCATGTGAGGATGAAATGATTAGATTTTGGATGTAGGAGGTCAAAGGTCAAAGGTCACAGGGCCTAAAAACTTGTAAAAAATCAGCAAAAATAGATTGTTACCGCGATAAATTCAGAACAAATGAATAGATTTTCACCAAACTTTGCTCAAGTATGCATAAGCATGTGAGGATGAACTGATTAGATTTTGGGTTCATGAGGTCAAAGGTCAAAGGTCATGGGGCCTAAAAACTTGTAAAAAAATCAGCAAAAATAGCTTGTTACCGCGAAAACATCAGAACGAATGAACAGATTGTCACCGAATTTGGCTCAAGTATGTAGAAGTAGGTGAGGATGAACTGATTAGATTTTGAGGATATTATTGAACTTTTTTTCAGTTGCACGTCGGTGTATATTTTTGATCCCTTGGTGTTAGTGGGGCTTTCTGATCGCGTGATGGCGGAGGCATAAATTTCGACCGTGCGCGGACGAGGATTCATCTAGTTCTGGAGTGGATCCAGTCTTTAACTGCCCCTATCCCTGGAAGTGGGTGTGGTATGATTTATTTACAAAACTGGATTGTTACTTTGGTGATTAAAATTCTTTGGGTTTGATAAGCTCATTTTACGGTCAATTAATCCCAGTCACTTGCATTTCACTTTTTCACCTGTATCATCCTTGGTCACTCAGAGCAGGGTGGGCAAAGGTTAAAGTTTAAACTTTTGTTTATCATAGGGGATTTAGATTTATTATTAGACGTTCAGTGACATCTGTTAAGTATACACGTTAGGTGAAATGTCTACTCTAGTTTCACTTTTATGGACATGTACACGTTTACACATATTTTCGAAACAGGCCTAGTACTGATAAGTGGTTACAAGTTGTAGTACCTATCTTCCCTAGATAGAACTTGCAACATAAGTAATGTCGACTTGTATACTTTTGAAAAATTGTTTATAGAGTGCCTGTGCAGTTCTGATGATGGAAGTGAAGCAAGTGATAGTGAATCCGAGTTGTGCACACCCGTGGTAGAGGATAAAGGTAAGATTAGAGAATTCTAAGAACTTCATGAGCATTTTAGCAATTTAATGTAAATTTACTGAGTAGTGAGAAAAGAGCTTGTTACATGTACTGAAATGCTTGCCTGTTTATCTTTATTACCTCCACCAATGGAGGAGGTTATGTTTTTTGTTACGGTTGGTTTGTGTTCGTTCGTTCGGTAGTTATTTAGTTAGTTTGTCCTTGTGCAAAATAACTCCAAAAGTAGTTAACGGATTGAGATGAAACTTGCAGGAAAGGTTGGGAATGACAAAAATACCAATCTATTGAAGCTAAAATTTAGTTTTTAGTAAACCTCAAAAAAACATCAGCATTTCCTATGAAACCAAGTAAATTATATGCTGTGTTACCATATATGATATATTGCAGTCTAACACTTGTTTTAAGCAATACCAAAACCAAATTTGGAGACAAAAATACAGCACTCTGAATCCATCAGTTTCCGCAGCTCAAATAATTTTCTGGAATTTATTGCCTTTTCCTGGAATCTTCAATACTTGACATTCCTGTGATAAATGATGATCAATAAGCCTCATAATGACTCTGCTAGTTTATGCACTTATTTCAAAATCACAAAAAAAGGCTTCTTTGCGTGAGCAACGTTCTGGACGAGAAATAGGTGCCACTTTTGGTGTAGTCTGGTTGTCTGCTTCTTCTTCGCCATTTCTTGCCCGATTTCAATTCCGTTTTTGCTTAAAGACTGGCTCCACTCAAGAAAAATCTTGTTTTTAATGAAGCAGAAAAATGAGACGAACAGATTAAAAAAAGTTTGAAGCAAATCGAACAATGAATAACAGAGTTATGGCTACTTTAAAGGGGAGGTCTATGCGATAATTTACTTTAAAATTAATATAGGGCAAAAATCAAGCTTTCAGAAAATGTCTTACTTGACTCTGTAGACCCATGAATAAAGGAGTAATCACTGGAAAATCGATATAAGCAAAAGTTCTCGCACGAGCCAGTTTTACCCGAAATGCATTACGCTACACTGTCCGCATGACGTCAGTGTCGCACTTTTGTTGAGCAAGCAGTCAGAAATCCCACGGCTTGAGGTTCAAAACCAATATTTCTACATTTTTACATCAAAATTGTCAGCTCAAATATCTTGAATCAATTGAGCATATATCACCCTATGTGTCAAGGGTTTCAGAATCGGAAAAGTGGTCATTTTCCCCAAGAACTCATAAAATTTGTGCAGCTATACCCTTGAAACAAAAGTCACAGCAATATCTTGCATACAGCCAATGGAGAAAGTTCGCACATGTGCAGTCTTAGTGCGACAATGACATCACATGGCCATCGCACTTTGGCAATGCGAGAACTATTTTAGAAATACAGTCAACTCTGCCTAAGTCGAACTTGTCTATGTCGAATAATTGCCTAAGTCGAAATAAATTTCTGGACCAAATGACAACAAACCTGTGTTATTTACTTCTTCTAAGTCGAAATTCGCGTAAGTCGAACAAATTTTTGTGGTCCCAAGAGATTCGACTTAGGCGGAGTTACCTGTAATTACAATTACAAAATTGGAGCTTAAAAATCACAAAAGTAACGCCCGTGGATGAAAGTGGTATCAGAATGCTCCTTGATTTTCAAGCCGTAAAATAGATTTTTTAGGAAATCGTCTAGACTTCCCCTTTAATGATATTGAAAAATCTATTTTGACAGTGATTTCTCACGCAAATTGGCAACCTTTGGTCACGTGTGATGACGTACATCATGCACTACTTGAATGTTAGCTTATGGTATCTTATTATCATCATCATTGCTTTTAGCAATCCGTTTTAATTATTAAACACAAACTCACTTTTCTTATTGACGTCTTCATGAAGGTCAAATCCATCAGTGAACGTAACTTTAGCTAATAAATTCCATGTAGAAAAATAAAAGGTATTATGTTTGGATTTATAATATTTAATATAATACATTTAAGATAAATTATAATAAATAATAAGAAATATTGTTTTAACTGTTGATCTATTAATAATTACATGATAAAATAATGTCTTATTATTATTTACATATTTCCACTGATTTTACGATTGCAATCTTGAAGAAAAAAATTGATTTTCACTTTTATTCTTATGTATTTCTTTGTTTTTACAATTTCTTATGTTTTATATTAATTATTTTAATTGTTATGTATTTCTTTGTTCTATGATATTTGTGTCATTATATAAATCTTCAATGAGAAATATTTGGATACCAGGCTTATTTTATAAAGTTATTTCAAAAGAGTAGCCAACCTAAACTTATCAATGAAAGCAGAAAAAACATGAAATATGTAATTTTATTATGTTTATTGTTTATTAAATTCATAATCCATTATTATTGCTTTTATTATTATTGCTTTTCAATATTTGAACAAATGAATTATTGCATGCTTATGAATCCGTGCATTTATCGACGGAAAGAGACTTATGTTTATCATTGAAGCGTTAACAAATGATGGTATAAAACAATAAGGTATAATAAGTTACTTGCAGAGAAGTGCATGATATACGTCATCACACATGACCAAGGTTTGCCAATTTGCATGAAAGATCACTGTTGAAATCAATTTTTAGATTTCATTAAAAAAATCATAACTTTCTTATTTATGGTTGGATTTGCTTCAAACTTTTTTTGATCTGTTTGTCTGATTTTTCTGCTTTCAATAAAAACAATTTTTTTTTGGAGTGGAGTCAGTCTTTAATATGATAGCACTGGGTGGGGGCTTCGAAACTTCGACATAGAATTTTGAAACTCATTAAATATGCTAATTTATGTGCATATTTCAAATATTACAAAAAATGCTGCTTCTTTATCATTTCTTAACCGAATTTAATTCTGTTTGCTTTATGATAACACTGCTGGCTGGCAGATTCCCATCAAAAATTTCCATGTAAAAAAAAAACTTAGTTCATGAATGCATAGCAATGATCTGATGTATACATTTAGGGCAGTTGAAAGTGATCTTGCTTTTTCTTCATTTCCTCAGCTCCATGCACTGCATCCACCCTCCCCCTACTCCTCCCTTTGCTCATTCTCCATCTTCTTCCATCCACTATTCTTCTATTCCACTTTGCACTTATATATTCCCTTCTCCTCCTCCTCCTCCTCCTCCTCCTACTCCTACTCCTCCTTTCTCCTCAACTTCTCATTCATCCTTGCCTTCACCTGCTTTTCATCTGTCTGATCCTCTTCCCCGTCTTCCTATTGTTCTGCATCCCCATTTTCGTTTTATGATATATTTTTTTCTTACTTCATTATTTGTCCTCTTGTTCCTCTTCCTCATTCTTCTTATTTTAGTTTATGTTTAGGAATATATGAATAAGTTCTTGTGCATTTTCATTTTTTCCCCTATTTTTCATTTATGGGGTGGGGTGGGGGGGGGGAGGATACTCATCAGGGGACTGACCTCTTAGTAAGTACATCAACTCATTACTCTGATTTGTCTATGATGATTTATAAATAGCCCTTTTTTGTCATATTAATGCTTAATTCTTTCTGTTAGTCAAATAACTAACTCTGCTAATTAAAAAAAATCTGGCAAAACTTCAAAGGCACCCCAGGAAAGTACAAAGTATGCGGACACCTTCCGGCAGACCTTTGGTAGACTTGCCGCATACTAAAAATAAGCGGGAAATCTACCGAAGGTCTGCCGTTAAAGTTTTTGTTTAGGAAGCTCTCATTTCTCTATTTCTCAATCAACTTTTGATACAACTTGATACAAATGATCCTTGGGTAATACAAGATGTGACGTATTGATGATTATGATGAAGTCAAATGTCATCTGTTGGTCAAAAGGTCAAGTGAAATAAGGTTATGTGGTTACAAAAATGTTAGATGCACTCATTTCTCTATTCCTTAACCCTTTGAGTGCTGGCCTGTGCTGCTGGTATCAATGAATCTGGTAGTATTCTTAAATGAGAAGGCTAATTAATCTCATTTAATTATTTGTTTGGGTTTTTATTCAAGGTACAAGGAAATATGATACCTTACTTCTTTGGATAATGTAAATATTTTTCTTGAAAACGCCAATTAAGAGTCTGTAATTTAGAGGTGAAAAGCCAACCTCATTTGCCAAAGCCTCATTATTGGGCTTCTGTAGAAGCCCGTCGCATCTTTTATTTTTTTTACTTGGTACAAATGATCCTTGGGTAATACCAGATGAAGAGTGATGATGATGTCCAAGATCATCTAGGGGTCAAAAGGTCAAATTTGTTAGTACATTAATAGTCTGTTTTAAAAAATGTTATAGGTTTTCTTTACTTCGGTTGCAGTTCTCTATTTCTCAATTATTTTGAAACTTAGTTCAAATGATCCTCGGGTAATACCAGATGTGGGGTGATCACAATGAGGTTAAAGGTCATCTAGGGGTCAAAAGGCCAAGTGATATAAGGCCTTGAGCCTTTGAAAGTTCTTATACATGTTTTAATATTGATCGCAAATTCAGGCGAGACTCATGGTCCGCGAACCACCTTGTTGATATCTCAAGATCTGCAGGTATATCCTTGGAGGACAATACTTTGATTTGATTTGGGGGTCATGGGGTCAAAGGTCACAGAGGTCAATTTTTGAAAAAGACAGTTTTTTACAATATGTTGCACACAATTTGACATATGAACTTGTAACTTGGTGGGATGATAAAGTATAAGAAGAAAAAAATTTGGCTAGTAAATTGGGGTCAAGGAGCCAAAGGATAATTTATTGTAGAAAATAAGATTTTTTGTCTACATCAAGAACCGTGTGGCGGTTGGACCTCAAGTATGGAGTGAGAGCATATCCTATGGGGACAATAATTTGATTCCATTTTGGAGTCACAGGGTCAAAGGCCACAGAGGTCACTTAGTGGAGAAAAAAAACAATATCTTATATATAAAATTGTGACTCGGTGTTGAGGGTTGTGTATGACAAGACAAAATTATGCTGATATTTTGGGGTCATGGGTTAAAGTTCAAAGGTCATGGAGGTCAATATATTGTAAAAAAAAAATTATGTTGATATCTCAAGAACCGTGTGGCAGTTTGACATCAAACTTGCTGCTACATGTATATGGTTATTGTATAGTAATTTTCTTTTTTATTGATCATGCACTCGGCGGCGGCATATATTTTGGTTGAATATGGTCGAATATCCATCTATTTTTTATTTATTTTTTTAGTTTTATCCATCCTTTTTACTGTTCTACTCTGTTGCAAGTACAAATTGCATCCATTTCTTTGTTGGATGCCTGATGAGCATCTTATCATTGATGTGCTAGTTACAACAGAATTTGTGTAGGAATTTCATGAATTTCATCTTCTATATCCTTTTGTTAAGGTGATACAGATGTTGCTGAAACAGTAGGCACCAGCAAACGCCAGACAAAGAAGATGTGGAGTGATGCTGAGAAGGAAGCTGTCAACAGGCATCTGGGGATTTTCTTAAGAACAAGAAAACTTTGTGGAAAGGATCCAATCATCTCTGCGATGAAAGCTGATCCACGCATCTTCAAGGGTCGCACATGGACAAATATAAAGGATTTCGTGAGAAACCAAATTAGAAAACGAGACCCTTTAGGATTTCTTCAGAAATTTTAAATGAATGAGGTGTTACAGTCAGGCATGTTACCACAATTATGAGGTTCTTTGTATGTTCTTGGTTGAGCATTGCTTGTAGGGGAAGCTGTGCTTTAATGCTGAACTGATGTGCTGGCAGGTACAGTCTGGCAATTTTTCATTGTCTGCAGTTCACTAAGTTCACGAATGAAGGCATTTGTTTGAAAGACAGTAACTTTACCCTGAAATGCAAACTGTTATGCTGAGGGTTTCAAAAGTACAGGTATATAATATGATCTTGAAAGAAGAGTCGATCAAAAATAATTTCTTACAAGAAGCAGAAAAAATTGGCAAGCAAAACAAAAGAGTTTGCGGAATATTGGACAACTAATAACAAAGTTATGATTAATGACTTGAAAAAACGGGCAAATCACTGAAAATTTTCAGGGATGTTGCCAATTTGTTGATGTTATGGGTGCACAACTCACCATTCAATTCATATACCGTGTGTCTCAAAAAAAACGTAACACTTTTGAAATGGTTGCCAAATTGAGCATATATAATTTTATGAAAAAATGTTGATATGTATGGAAAGCTAAAGGACCAACCTTTCATATGATATGAAAAAATTAAAAAAAAAATCATGCTTCGATGGACAGTGTTCACTTAAGTTAGAGGTATGAAAATGGGCCTGCGCAGGATTTTTCCTTCCAATTTTGGACAGGTAAATTACTTGTAACTTACAAAATAAGGTCGATATGAGATATTCATGATCGATGGATCAAAAGGATATTTTGAATCAAAAGGATATTTTGAATACCTCGAATACCATTCCTTTTTCAGTGTTATTTATCAATCCCGAAACACCACCGCCCACCCCCCCCCCCCCACACACACACACACACACACACACTTCCACCCACTCCCATCTCATTGTATCATTGATCTGGTAGATGTGAACGGGATTAAGGAAGAATGGGAAAATGTTAAATTGAAATACCGTATTCAAAATCATAATTGACATTATGCAACCCACTCTCCTCCCCCCCACAACCTTTTCCCATCCCATCACCTACCCCTTGCCTTTTCTTTATCAGTTTTCTTCCGTAAGTTTGGTGGATCATCAATCACATTTTATTCAGGTTTTATGAATGACCCAAACATGTAATAGCTAAGTACATCATTCATTATGCATTGAAAATACCAGACCCCTTCTCTTTCCCCACATTTGAACTTGTTATCACCTGTCCATGGAATACCGTATGACATTGCATTGTTATTCTTCATTGGCCTGAACACTGAGTAGCCAGAAACTGTTACATAATCCTCTTTATCCAAAATCACTGTTTAATACTAAAACAAAGAGGCAAAAACATGGTATTACACATTACAGGTTTAAGAGTAAAAATAACTGCATTAAGTTGTTACATAGCCTTCAAACAGTCCATCTTATGCCATGTTGTCAGTATGGAACGACCCCAATTCACAAATCAGCAGCGTGCTTTCATGGTAACTGAGTATCATCGAACTAACAATGTTACAGCAGTCTGTCAGAGGTTCAGACAAGTCTACCCGGATGTACGCTGCCCTTCGCGTCTTACCGTGTACCGCAATGTCGCCAAGTACGAGGGAACGGGGACGAGCCATAATCTGAACCGAGGAAGATCAGGACGCCTCAGGACTGGACGATCGGCAGAGAATATTGAAGTGGTTCGTCAAGCCATTCAGGATCATCAGGATGGAGACATCAGCTGTCGGCGAAACCCTACAGATCTACCCCACGCCACCTTCAACAGGATCACGCTACTTGATCTTCACTACCACCCTTACCAGATGATCAAGAGACACGAGCTTCTCCCAGGAGATCGTCAGCGTCGCACAAGATTTTGTGAGTGGCTACTCCGAAGGCCGGCGCGATTCTTAGATGACTTGTTGATAGGGGACGAGTCCGGTTTCGCTCTCAATGCCCAGGTCAACACGCACAATCTTGTGGCATACCGGGATAAAGGGCATCCTCCAGAAGAGTTCGACTACCAAAGGAAGTACAACCGGTCCAAGGTGACGGTGTGGGCCGGTCTCACTGGCAGAGGGGACATCATTGGGCCCATCTTCTTTGACAACAATGTCAACGGTGAAGCCTATCTCCAGATGATAGATGGACATGTTGTCCCTGCCCTCGATAGAGTTGCAAGGTATCGCCGTGGCAGGAATGGACGGTTTCAACGCGTATGGTGGGCGCAAGATGGGGCACCTTGCCATCGCTCCAGGGATGTCACAGAGCGCCTCACCCAGCTCTTCGGTGATCGAGTGATATCCCTCAACCGCGAAGTTGAATGGCCTCCACGTTCACCTGACATGACGCCTCTCGACTTCTTCTTGTGGGGATGGCTCAAGGCCAAGGTCTACACCACACCTCCCGACACGCTGGATGATATCAAGGAGAGAATCACCCATGAGATTGATGTCCTTCGTCAAGACAGAGCCACAGTCAGGAGAGCTGTTCTGGACATGCTGAAACGGGCAAGATCGTGTATCGAGAGAGAAGGTGGACACGTCGATCATTAATGTGAAAGACTTTTATCTTTACCGGTACCCTTACTCAGTCGGTACTTTGAAAGCCTTGATATTCAATCAAGAAGAAAAGATAGCCATGTGGACTACTGAACTGATTACTTTTGTCAGATCTTTCATTTTAAGATGAACAAAGCAGTTTTAAATAAGAAAGAAATAAAAGAAACATGAAAATCTTTTAAAAAAAGATTTAACTTGTTTTTTGTCATGTCTGCCCTAATGTGTGTGTGTGTGTGTGTGCACGTGTGTGTATGTGTGTGCGCGTATATGTGTGTGTGTGTACGTGCGTGTGTGTGTGGTTTGTGTGCGTGTGATAATTGGTTTGAGCAATTGCTTGATGGAATTAATGTTTCAGTGATTTATCGATTGATTTCAATGATCAAAATGAGTGACTGGTTAATTTGATTATTAATGGAAAAAATGATCCACCAAACTTTCGGAAGAAAACTGATAAAAAAGCAAGGAGTAGGTGAGAGGATGGGAAGAAGGTTGTGTGTGTGTGTGTGTGTGTGTGTGTGTGTGTGTGGGAGGGGGAGGACAGTGGGTTGCGTAATGTCAATTATGATTTGGAATATTTCAATTTAGCCAATTCCCATTCTTCCTTAATCCCGTTCACATCTACCAGATCAATGATACAATGAGATGGGAGTGGGTGGAAGTGTGTGTGTGTGTGTGTGTGTGTGTGTGGGGGGGGGGGTGGGCGGTGGTGTTTCGGGATTGATAAATAACACTGAAAAAGGAATGGTATTCGAGGTATTCAAAATATCCTTTTGATTCAAAATATCCTTTTGATCCATCGATCATGAATATCTCATATCGACCTTATTTTGTAAGTTACAAGTAATTTACCTGTCCAAAATTGGAAGGAAAAATCCTGCGCAGGCCCATTTTCATACCTCTAACTTAAGTGAACACTGTCCATCGAAGCATGATTTTTTTTTTAATTTTTTCATATCATATGAAAGGTTGGTCCTTTAGCTTTCCATACATATAGACATTTTTTCATAAAATTATATATGCTCAATTTGGCAACCATTTCAAAAGTGTTACGTTTTTTTTGAGACACACGGTATATTCACAGTGCAAAATTCATCATTTTTACAGAAAGATACAAATCTTGTACTAATGCAAACATGCAAAAAAGGGGGCCACATACCTACCAAGAAGATATCCTACAGTTAGAGTTTTGAGGAAATCATAATTTGGGGGTAAAAAGTTACATTTTATAACATTGATATCAATATGATAAATGGTCAATTGTGCACCTATGATGTCATCAATTGCCAATTTGTCTAAATATTCAAACATTCATAACTTTCTTATTAATTGTCCGATTTCACTCAATCTTGTTTTGTTGTTCTGCTCACAAAAATTGTCTGCTTCTATTGAAAAGATATTATTTTTGGGTGGACTCTTCTTTTAAGTACTTTGAAAGTTGTGTAACAGTTAGAGCTGTTGGCAATCGGGCTTTTCTGCAGTATGTAGCATTGGGGGAGGGGCAATCCCCCTGTGGGAACCTATCCCCTTTGTTGTCCTGTGTTGAATTTAAAGTTTGTAGTGTTGGGGGTAGGGCTACCTTCCAGCCAAATCCAGTGTTAAATGTAGAGGGGAAAAACTAGGTACAAAGTTTGAGGCTTACGACTTGTAAAATTACATTGTGAGGAAAGTGTGAAAAAAACAAAGAGTCCTTGCTTGTCAGTAGCACATTTTTATACAAAATTGTTAAAGGCCCCTGCACCCTATCAAAATTACCTCTTCAACCTTATTAATAGCCAAGTTCCCCCCCCCCCCTTTCAACGAAAGAGGCTGTTTTGTAGCTTTGTAGTTGACTTCAACTCAGTAAATAGCCAATTTCTCATTTACATTTCTGATGACATGTTAACATATTTTTTGTCTCCGGCGAACAAGCAGGGGACTACGAAATGGGCTCCGTACCTTTGTGTGTGTCCATCTTTCTGTCTGTCCGTCCATGTTTGATCAAAATGCTACTTATTCGCCATTTCTCACCAGATTTTGATTCTGTTTTCTTTATGGGATGGCTCTAGGTGAGATCTTCAAAACTTTTGCCCCAAATTTTGACCTTTGACCTTGATTTTTAACCAATGTTCTACATTTTGCTACAAATGCTTTCTGCACTGTAACTTAAATACTGATTGGAATTTCAAAATTTTTGGTATATAGTTACAGAATGATAAAATACAGGTCAACTTTGTATGGAGTCTGTTGGTCAAAGGTAGGTCACAGCTCTTTAAATATGCAAAAAAAATCATTTATGCAAAATTGTGTTTCTGTCCAATAACTCAAAAAATCTTTGCCCAATTTTCACCAAATTTGGTGTCGATGGGAAGTAAATACAGGTCAAGTTCAAATATGGGCTCTGTATGCCAAAAGGTCAAATGTCAAGGCTCATAAAATATGCGGAAAACCTTATTATTTATGCAAAATTGTGGTTTCCATCCAATAACTCAAAGAATCGACGCCAAATTTTCACCAAATTTGGTGGGTTGATGAAAGCTATTGAAAATACAGGTCAAGTTCGAATATGGGGTCCACAGTTCAAAAGGTCAATGGTCAAGGCTCATTAAATATGCAAAAAATCTAATTATGTGAAATTGTGGTTTCCGTCCAATAACTCCATAAATCTTTTCCCAATTTTCACCAAATTTGGTGGGTTGATAGTATTGAAATACAGGTCAAGTTCAAATATTGGGTTCGTAGGTCAAAAGGTTGAATGTAAAGGCTCATTAAATATTCAGAAAACATTATTTAATGTGAAATTGTGGTTTCCATCCAATAACTCCAAAAATCTTTGCCCAATTTTCATCAGATTTGGCA